TAATGCATGCATGCCTGGTGCCCTAAGAAATCAGAAGAGGGCATCGATACCCTGAAACTGAAGTTACAGGTGGTTGTTAGCCACCATATGGGAGCTGGGAGATACACCCAGGTTCTCAGAAAGAATTGTAAATGAAAACAGGGATTAGAAAGATGGCTTAGCACTTAAGAACGCTTTTTCTTGATTCTCCTTACACTCACATGGTGGCTCACAATCTGTAACTACAGCTCCAGGGGATCTACCCAACGTCTCTTCTGACCCCCAACAGGCTCCTGCATTCAAATGGTGCACAAACCTGCACTTAGGCACACACTCATACACACAAACATAATACGTCAAAAAATATAGCCAGGTGTGGGGGTACAGAACTTTAATTCCAGCACTCAGGAAGCAGAAGCAGGCAGATCTCTGAGTTTGAAGCCACCTGGTTTACAGAGTGAGTTCAAGACCAGCTAGAGCTATATACTGAGAACCTATCTAAAAAATAAATAAAAGTGAGGAACAAACAAAAAAAATCAAGTCTATAGAAAAGTGGCTGGTTGTTGTGTGACCGTTTTCCTCCAGGGAGACACAACACATATCTGCTCACTCCAGGTAGAGAACCCCCAACAACCCAAAGTATGGAAGCCACCAAAGTCCAACTGAACCAGTCAATGAGTGTTATGAGTGTTATTGGAGTAAATTACCGGAGTATGGCTGAAGGATTACAGGAGCAGAAATGACTAGAGGACAGTTGCATCACCAAAGCATGACACCTCACAAACCTAGGAACCCAGGCCCATTGCAGGCCCACAGGCAGATCAACAAGTTCAGAGTATACTTTCCAGGTGGTTCGGTGGATCTTAATCTCCTCTAGATGCTCAGCTCCATTCGGATTTTTGCAGGGGTCTTTCCAGTTTGTCTCCACCTATACTGAGGGGGGGGGGGGGAACTAGTGAATCTGGTCAGTTTCAGGGACTTCCTGGGCTTATTTTATTTACCTTCCTGTTTAAAGAGCTTCCCTGCTGGATGGAATGTTTCTCTCTCAGAGGAAACTTACACATTTGACCCAGGGAAATGTTGAGGAAATCCTTCCTTTCATAGTCACAAGTTTTACAAGATATAGAAAAGTTAAAGTTAGTGGCAAAATATATCTTCAAAACATGAATTATAAAGAACAAAATACATGAGAATTCTTAGACTTTTAAGTTTTGTAAAAGTACCAGGAGTATACTAAATCCTAAATTGAGTTCATAGCCACATGTCACTGCTTCCAGGGAAAAATAACACTCCACATTCCAAACAACAGATTAAATTCCAACCTGTTTCGCTGTGTTCTAATTATGTCTTACCAAAGGAGCACCGAAGAGCAGTCTCACTACAATACAGGCAATTCTTACTGTATAAGAACTAACATTCAGAACCCCACCTCAACAGTCAGAAAGTTAAAGCTCCCTGGGACTGAAAGACCTTGTGGATCCCTCCTTGGCTTTCCAGTTTCAAGAAATTAGCAAGATGTGCATAATATAGGAATTAGTATAAAACCTAAGAAAGCAGGGCTGGTGGCACATGCCTTTAACCCTAGACTAGTACTTGGAGGTGGTGGTAGGTAGGTCTTTATGAGTTTATGTGTTCAAGGCCATCATGGTCTACATAGTGAGACCTTGTTTCTAAGACAAAAATACATCCTAAGAAGAAAAAGGTTTTACCTATATTATTATTGGTTTTTGGGAGAGGGTTTCTCTGTGTAGCCCTGGGTGTAGAGGAACTCACTCTGTAGGTCAGGATTCCTCGAACTCAGAGATCTGCCTGCCCCTGCCTCCCAGGTGCTGTGATTAAAGCATGCCTTGACCACACCACAATGAGTATTACTTATTTTAGGTGTGTTCCCTGCCTATCCCCCATCCCCAGACAGGGTTTCTCTGGGTAACAGCCCCAGCTATCCTGGAACTCTATTTGTAGCCCAGTCTGGCCTTGAACCAACAGAGATCCTGTCTACCTCAAGTGCTGGGATAAAGGGCATGGGCCACCACCACCCAGCTGATTTTAGGTTGAGACAAGGCTGTCTTGGAACTCACTGTGTAGACCTGGAACTCAGAGATCTACCTGCCCGTGCCTCCCCAGGGATAGGACTAAAGGTATGTCCTTAAACTCACTTTGTAGACCAGGCTGGCCTCAAACTCAGAGATTCACCTGCTTATGCCTCCTGAGTGCAGGATTAAAGGTGTTAGCCGCCACTGCCCGGCGTGGAACTCGCTTTCAGACCAAGCTGGTCTAGTTCAGAAATTACGGGCATGTGCTGTTGCACCTTTTTGTTTTTGGAGACAGGATTTCTCTGTGTAGCTTTGGAGCCTATCCTGGAACTTGCTCTGTAGACCAGAGTTCACAGAGATCCAATTGCATGTGCCTCCCAAGTGCTGGGATTAAGGGTGCGCATCACCACCAACAGGTGAGAGATCCTTTATTAAGCAGAAAATGACTGCTTTCTGACTCAGGCAGGAAACAGCAAATTGCAGGTGTAATTTTTAATTTATTTGTTATGTATACAATATTCTGTCTGTGCGTATGCTTGCAGGCCATAGGAGGACACCAGACCCCATTACAGATGGTTGTGAGCCACCATGTGGTTGCTGGGAATTGAACTCAGGACCTCTGGAAGGGCAGTCAGTGCTCTTAACCTCTGAGCCATCTCTCCAGCCCCATAGCCCCATGCAGGTGTAATTTTTTT